CCCACCTGAGGGAACTGGTCCTTCAAGCCTCTGTCCCCCCGACACAGGTGGAGATTGGAAAGATGGTCAAGGCCCACGTCCGAGTGCTGGACTTTTACAAGAAGTCTTTCCTGGCCAAGTACTTTGCCTTCATGGACCTCAAGCTGCGGGCGGCCTCCCAGATCATCACCCTGGTGTGAGTTCTCCCGGGGGTCAGGCGGGCTTCTCAGGGACAGTGCTGGACCGACTGCGCCCTCCTTGGCAGGTCTGACCCGGAGGTGGAACCCAGCGCCCCGTCTGTTTCAGGGCCCTGGACAAAGCCCTGGACAGCTACACGGCTGCGTTCCTGGTGCTTGGCACGGCCATCGGCCAGACCAGCCTGACCGCAAGCGTGACCGATACTGCCGGACAGAGGATCAGCTCGACCCCGCAGCAGATTGAAGTAAACGGGCCCTTCTCACGCCCTCTGGGGTCTGCCCCTGCTGGGGGAGGGTGTCTTCTTGGTGACAGGCTGGACGGTCCAGCAACAGCCCAGGAAGTCACCACAGAGAGGCTTTGATAAAATGTGTGCCCGTCCTGGCTTCTGAGGAGAGGGTCTCCACCCGGCCCCGGGGCCGGGAGGCAGGTCTCAGTGCTGGAGGGAGGTGGCTGGGGGGTTTGCTTTTTGGTACCAGGGCTTAAACCCAGGGGCCCTCCACCCCTGAGTCCTGTCCCCAGCCCTGTTTTGCATTTTATTTAGAGACAGGGTCTCGCTGAGTTGCTTAGGGCTTCACTTTTGCTGAGGCTGGCCTCCAACTGGCCATCCTCCTGCCTCAGCCTCCCAAACCGCTGGGATGACAGGCGTGCACCCCTGAGCCCAGCCTGAGTGTTTCTAATCTCCCTCTGTGACACAGGGGGTCTGTGTGGCCCTAAGGAGGGGTATGCCTTGTCACATGGCAAGGGGACGGGCAAGAACTGTTCCCAGAGGGTGGCCTGGGGGGAGGTGGCAGACGCACTGTGTAGACCTGACCTGAGCCTCCGCCCGGGTGCCTGGGGGTTGAGCTCCTGCCACGGGGCTGTGTGGGCAGAGGGTCACTGAGCCACC